TCCCCCCCCAAACAACTACTATAACCACTAAAACATTTTTAATACGGCCATTGACAACCCTTGAGTAAACGCAGGGGGTGGGGGAGTAAATGTTTCGTACTACAGCATTTTAATACAGTAGATTGTAGTGGACTAGTAGACCATAGAGTGGAATAGTTGTCAGACTGGTCCAGTGGTCGGCCATCAAGTAGAACTAGAACAGAAAGATCACCGTCAAGTGAAGTGGCGCCCAAACAGGAATACCTACAGCATTGATATTCTCTCAGTTGTCCAGCTCACTTTAGTGACTACTGGTCTAATGGGAAAACTTCCGACTGATAAGTAAATCAGTCCGACAACCACTTCAGTTATGTGATCACCATTCACCAGAATGAAAGGTAGTTTCTGTGCTCTGTTTTTTAATCGGCCTTTGAATAAATTTATTCATGACACTGATAAAGCTGCAGCTATGAGATACATTTAAAACTTTCCTGCAGAGTTAGATTACCTATTTTTCATGAAGTTTTTATTCATTTATAAATTCACTTTTACTATAGTTTCACTAGTTTGGGATTAGAGATAAGTTTTAAATTTTACACAGGCAGTCAATCTTAGCAAGATTACCATTCTTCTCAGTTTCAGCTTGCAAAGGCATCTTAAATGTGCACAATATGCAGGTACTACCTTCATGGTTTTTAATTCTTATCATGGAAACCAAAAACTCAATTACACTTGCCCTAAGATAAGGGTTGTGAAAAATTTGAGTGAAGAAACAGCCACACTCCTGAAAAAAAAAAAAGTTTTGAATACGACCTTTGATATGTTATCTCCAGACTATCTTGCTCCAAGTGTGAAATTACAAATCCTCAAGTGTGGTCTAAGTGTGGAACAATAACTTGAATTTCCTTCCCCTTTTCTCTCAGAAAGCAGGGTTTTCAGAGAATAGAACACTTGTCTGAAAAGGAAATTTAGTTGAAGTAAAAAGAACACTTGGACATAATAATGGTCATTTAGTGCAGGGAGAAAGCAAGATAGAAACAACAGAGAGGAAAGCACAGAAGCTGGAACTACTAGTGGCACCCTCCAACCAGCCACTCCCCCCCAAAAAAGGAATCTATAGGACTTAAAGGACACTTCATCAGACTGTGACTGATTTATACATAAGCTTCTTGGCTACAAATAATCCTACAACTACTTCAGTGAAAGTTTTCCACCACTGCAAGGGAAAGCATGATTAAATGAAATAATAAATGTGGGTGTTTTTTATGCCCCCATCAACACAATTTAGATTATTTAGGAGGCAGGCTTTGAATGTGCCTGTCAGGGTCAACCCAGGCTGAGAAGGATACAACATACCAACAGAAAGGTAGAAAAACTCCATAAAATTTTCCCAACACAAATCGAACTTGGGTCCCCTGCATGAGACAGCAAAGGGCTTAACCCTATCCGTACGTCCTGTTTTACTATCGTATCCATTCGACGTGGGGGCTGGGGGACCTCTGTGCCACCACTTTTCAAAAAGAAATTTACTCATTAATCCGATCCCTACGCTTTGCAGTAGCAGTCTGTCAAAAGAATTTTGTGAGAAATACTGAAAGTTTCAAAGAGATCTCCATACTAGAAGTATTCCAAAATATGAAGAATACAACCTCAGGGGTACAAAATGACCCCAGGGCGTACGGATAGGGTTAACCAATACACCACAGACACCAGTTGGGAAAGCCCTGGCTTCGCTTTCTGTTATCAGATGTTACCAGGAACAAGTTAACTCCACTGGAGATCAAATGATGAAGGAAGTGACATTTCAAGCAGTGTCTTTTATGAAGCCTATCAACTATCACATTCACCTTCCATTTTCGACAAGCCCATTTTTTACATTCAGACTTCAAGTCATTTATATCAGCATTAAAAAAAACTCCCAGCAATACAGTTTTATCTTTCTCAACTCAAACCACCACCTCCGGAGAAGGACAAAAGGAAAACTGGCTCTCCCAAGCTCCAATCCACTGTGAAATAAGACCCAGAACTGATATCCAGCTCACATGTCAAATAAACACTCAGGTCACTTGTTCCAAATCTAAACAAATTAGACACAACATTTTGACCCAAAACTCACATCCACATGAAACTTTGAGTTAAATATGACAACTTAAAAAGAAATAAGAACACTCATATTTGCTAAAACAAATTATTTAATATCAGGTTTGCATTGACAATGTATTTGTATACACTCCAATCGACACTCCAGTTTGTTCAAACGTATAAAATTACATCTACAGTCATGCAAACAACCATCCACGTATCTTGTTAAATATTTCAGCACTGACAAAGCAACTGCTGAAGAGGGGGGAATAAATGCATGCAATAAACATCTCTAACAGTGAGCTAATAATGACAAATTAATCAAAAACAGCAGATTAGAATCACATTCAAGTGCAGATCTACAGCTACGGTAACACACAGCATTTTATAACTATCCACAAACGTATTTACTGGTATATATATTGACAAGCAGGTACAAATAGTTTTCACAATGTTTCCTCTGCCACACACAAGCCTTTATACATCAACAATGAGAGCAAGGTTAAAAAGAAAACACACATGGGAAAGAACTGAACAATAGTGAAAAAAACAAACGGATAGACAACAAGCATACTCCGTGAAATGCCTAAAAAGATCATCACCCTGGCTACATTTCGCTACACCAAGAGGCAAAGCATTCTCTTAACAGCCAGCATAGAAAGCTTTGGACAAAAGCAATCCCCTCTCTCTTTTTGTCAAATAAATACTAATCACAGGCTGAAATCATAATCCACTATAGCCAGCATGGATGTACCAAATAACTGTACTTTTCACTTATACACCTCACGATCTCAATAAATAGATTGCATACCTGATATCGAAAAGATGGAATGGTCGTAAATCATAGTCCATGGTCAGCTAAGTTAACTTTCGTCTCGGCACAAGACATGAAAGTAGCAGGAAGAAAGGCACATGTGGCTCACAACCAACGTGGCAGAATTATACCAAGTTTGAAAGTAAAGGACCAGAACAGAAAAAGGAAATATACTGACATGATCAATTTAACATATTTTCTGTTCCACTGTCAGTTATAAACATATTTCTACTTCATGTGGATAATCATCCAACATACTTCACCTGCACTGAAACATTTTCGTGAATCTATCAAGTGTCAAAAATTGAATACAAATTGGAAAATCCACATCAATAGACCTTTGTAACTTCAACTTTGTGCACCTTTACTTTATATTGAGTCTAAACATTGAGCAAGAGTGTGGAACAAGTCCTAGGCCTGCCACCTTCAGAGCCTACCAGTTCAGCTAGGGCTTGGCATTGAGAGAACTGTCACGTGCAATTTACTCTGAGTAGTTAGAACAAATGTTTCCCGCAACAAAATTATTCAATCATTAACACAGTCAAAGACTGAATCACATCGGTGGATTTGAAGATTCATTTATGCTTAGTATAAAAAAACAATCAGAAAACCCCCCAGGAAATTTAAACTTCTAATAGTACATAAAGCTTTTCTTTAACTGTGGTAACCGACACACCGACAAAGGTAAAATGAACCATGATGCTTAGATTTCTGAGGACAATTTCCATCTGTTTGCTGAAAAAGTGAAAATAGTTCTTTGAACAATACAGAAAAGAATTATCCGGATATAAAAAAGTAAAAAAAAAAAATTAAACAAATTTTTTTAAAAGAACAACTATAACAGATTGTTTAGAACACAGGGGAAAAGACACAAATTCCTGAAACAAGGGTACAAGATAAATGACAAAGAAAAACAACACATATTTTTTGCTGTTTTTCTATACTTCCAACAAATAATGAAACAAAACTCCTACTAGGATATTCGCTCAACGAAAAAACAAACAAAAAACATTTGAGTTTTCAATATGAAAACAAATTTCATAGATATCTGCCTGTATGGCAGCACACAGCAGACTTGTGGTCTCTCCCAAGAGTCACGGCCTGAGTACTGGGTACACATCAACCAACTCTCTCCTCATATCAGCATTTCAGGCAAAAGGCTTATAATGCCCAGCTAACCTCGGAGATATTAGAAACCCACCATCCACATGCTACTGTATACAAGTTCATCACATCATTCTTAGGGCAATCACATCAGTTTTAGGCATTCCAGAGATTTATTACATTTGTACAGACGTCAAGATAGGAAAATATCATCAGCATGTAAGATGTGACCAGTTCATGATACTGCGGAGAAGCGAGTAGGGTAATCAATGACTGTATGTCAGTAAATGAAGGTCATCTGTCTTTCCAAAGGCTCTTATAAAAATACTTTTCTTCTGTCCGTGCAGATTATGTTCACTTTCCCTAAAATTGTCATTGAAAAATTATCGACTAAGACACATTACTATAACTTCCCACACACACTATCCCAAAACTAAGCATGTTTATAACATCCCCCTACCCCCATCCAAAACAACCAACAACATCCCCCCCCCCCCTTTCGGGGAAAAAAAACAACAACAAACCAAAACAACCAGCAACCCCCCTCCTCCCCCCCAAAAAAACCAACAACAAACAAACAATAACCGCCCCCGCGCCCCCCCCCCCCACAAACCAGCAGTTAGGCAAAACAATCAATCCCTTTCCCAAATGAAAAATAAAAGGAAGAACAAGGTAGTAGTAAGCAAAGAAAATATAACATAAACAACAAAACAAAAAAAAACAAAAAGATTACAAAGTAAATGAACACCATGACAACTTCAAAATCCCAAATTACTCCTCCTACCAATGAAAAAATGAAAATTCCCCTGTAAGAGTTTCAGCAAGATATCTGGGGTAAGAGACCGGGCAACCTGTTTCATATTACATGGCATTGATACATTTTCCAACAAACCAAACTGTCCAGTAGAAGGACTTGAGCCCACCCACCTTGTGCAGAGTTGAAAGATATGTTGGGATGTCAAAAGACTTGGGAGTCACCTGGGTCTCTTCAACAAACTGATTAATATCTGATGGGCTTAACCCCTTCACTGCCAGGCTTGCTCTATAATCCTACTTAAAAGTCTCAAACAGCCTTGGGCCAGGCAGCGAAGGGGCTAACATGAGTGTGCTGGATGCACACATGGGCAAAGAAATGACTGACAAATGTGTACATTATCATGGGTGACGTTTTAAGAGAATACTGCCATATAGCACATTAATGACACAGTGTGGTACAAAAATATTGCCTTGACACTTTTCATCTTCTTTTAAAGCAATGTTAACAACAAGTAGAGCAAAAAAGACACAAAGCGATAGCGTTACTACTTTCAACTGAAAAACCTGCCAATTGTGACACAAGAAAGTATCAAAGTGTACAACAAATATTTAAGCTATGAACAATACCTGTTTTTCGCTCAGAAAAGTCTATTGCACTTGTCAAAAAGATCCAAAGCCTACAATCCAACACAATCCAAAAGAACACTTACTCTCTCAAACACAACATTTTTCCAATTCAATCCATTAATTTTTATGTTAGTAAGACTGATAGGCCAACCTTGAAATTAGAAGAATAGATAATAAAGAGATCTGTTAGAGTTTAAGTTTGCAACCGATGCACTTAAACCGTCTACTCCTCACCCACCGGCAAATGAATGGCCACTATGAAGACCTGGGGGTGTTCACTTCAAAAGGAATCCACAAAAGTTTTCTAGTAAAATGACTGGCTTTCTAACATAAACAGTGTACAGGAATAAGTGAATTATGTCTTCTTCCTACAGTGTGGTCACACAGGATTAATCCTCACTTCAGCATTAATCAACAGTCAAAGACAGATCCTTGAGTGCTATCCTTTTTCTTTCTGAGAAGGTACACCCACTTCTACTTTACTTTATTTTTTACTTTCACACTTGACTCCTACACCCCATTGTACACAGGCCTTTGGGGAACCTACAAGCCTTGTTTACCTACAACACCAACCAAACAATGCTACAGCTGCCTCTAACTTTTGTTTGTCCAATACGAAATTTACTGAGTGAAGATAATAAATCACATGGTGCAATTTGATGTAATTTGTATAATTACAACCTCTCATTCAAGAATCAGTTGACTCATAAGACTGAATTTCTTGCCTGATCGTAACAATACTTGTTCATGAATAAATACCCCCCGGCAATCCACAAAACCAGCAGAGAAGGATGCAAAGTCAAGCAGGCAAAGATACTCCATGAAAAAGCTCTGAACACGGGTCTTGAACTCGTATCTTCTGGGTGTGATGGCAAAGCGCCTAACCTCACACAAGTGGCGCCGGCCAGATTATCTAATCAGAAAATTAAATTTATCATGCGTGAACTTTTGGGACTAGAGGACATGACTGTCTATGTAAGTTTCAACATTTTTCTTTTTAATTTTAAAGTCTCTGAAAACAGGTTGCAAAAGCACATATTCTCAATACTGAAAGTAAAAATGAAACATAACATATATCACTACACACAAGCATCAATGTTAAATGAGCATGACAATAGCATATAATTTCTCTGCGATACATATATTCAGTTGTGACACCCGACAGTACGCATATTAAGTTTATATATAATATAACCTCTTGAACATGAGAGCTCCTTACAGATGTAATGCATCAGTTTGGAAAATCAAAGTTAGCAGCCAAACTTTATATCTGGCATTTTAGACACCTGCTCCGCTTTAAGGAAGTTCGAATACAACAAGTTTTAAGAACAGGGGGTTAAAAGTTGGATTCAACAATCTGGGGGACTGGTTTTCTGGAGAGTGGCAGAGAGAAAAAAAGAGAATTAAGTATCTAACTGAACACTATGGCAACTCTTTGGTGTGTCCTGAGTGACACAATGACATGATTTGAGCACAAGCGAAAGGCATTTGCCCTTGCTAGAGAAGGCACATAGACTGGACATCATTATCATATGCACAAGTGCCTAATTTTTTTTTTTTCTGAGCAAAGGTCTGATGTACGATGGGCTTTGATGTTTCGAACAAAAAAACCACACAAGTATTTATACAAACACGCACGTAGGCCTACAGTACAGTGACACACAATCATACTCACACTCACAAACACACATCCCGAACACATGCATGCAACAACCCACACTCCTTGCAAACGCATGATCTTAGATATATATGAAATGAGACATGGTCAAATACCCTGTATGAAATTTTTAGAAAATCCAAAATATTTCAAGTAAACACTTTTGTCTGGAGAAAAAAAAAGATATCAGAGCAGTATCTTTTTTCTCTGAACAAAGCATTACGGTACAAATCAAGAGGGTGTAAAAGGAATCAGCTTTGAAACTTCAATTTTAAATCTTGATGAATGATAAACGATGCAAAACCCTGCAAACTTTCATTCACATATGACGCTTTATCCAGTAACATACTTTGCTCCATGTGGTCACGATCCCAAAAGCCATTAACACCAAAATGAATGAACGGCTATATTTAAGAAGGCATGTGTACATTTCTGTGCATAGAATCATATTGTGATATATTATAATGGTTTAGAAGATTGCAGGTCTTTTACTTCTTTTCTAAAGCTGGAGTTGAAACTATTTGATTATTCTTTCTCCCCCCCCCCCCCCCACCCTTCTTTAAAAAACAGCATCTGATTCTTTTCCCCCACCACATCAAACTTTGTACAAAGAGGAAATCAGGTGTATATGTAACATTTCTATGTACAACCTCGCCTTTGTCAGCTGTTCGCAAATGTCTATTTAACTGAATGTAGCCAAAGGGAAAGGACAGCTAAGAAAAACAAATTATCACATGAAGTGAAGAAAATGAACGGAGAGATAGAGAGAAAAACACCAATTAAATAGTGCTGTACACAAAAAGGAGAGTCATGTTAAAAACTACTGAAAGAATAAATATGAAGACAATAGAGGTAACAGCAGGCTGGTCAACCGAAAGGTTTATAAATAGGCTTGAGAGTTACAGAAAACTCACACAAGAGTACACGTCGACAACATAGTGGTAAATAAAATCTTGACAACTTATAATGTTTCAAACAGGGTCACTGATCCTGTATTCCTTTTGAACATGTACCTCTGCAATTAACAAAACATCTTGCCAGTAGAAGGAACTTGAAATTTAAAACAAACTGTACCAAAACTAATGCCACTATGTCCAAATCTTGATATAATGCCACAACAACCAACAAAAAAAAAAAAACCCAAACAAATACAAAAGAAAAAGATATACAAATCAAACAAACAACTATGGTCAAACTATCACTTCAGTAAGCATGCTATCCGAATTAACAACACAGCACTTCATGAATTAAACTTATCTGCGGGACACCCCTCAAATCATGGCTGTAGACGTAACAAAAAACAAGAGGCTACAGGCTGAAAAATGTCTAGTCAAAAGTACAAAGAAAGAGAGAAAAGAAGAAAGGGGAAGGAGAGGGGTTAACTGAATATAATAAAGTAAACTGACAACATAGCTGTACCTGCAGCAGTGGATGTGAAACACTGGACTTCTTGTATAGTTGTGCACTTGTCAACAAGTAAACCATGCTGAACTTCAAGACAATTTGTTCATCTAGTGTATCACAAAATAAAAAAAAATAAAAAACAGAAACAAAAATCACTCCTCATGAATGGCAATGTCCATTGTCCATGCTACAAACACGATAACTTCAACAGCAAAAGGGGTTTATTTTGCTCCACTACTTTTGCACACTCTGAAACACAGCCATGATATCCTTTTTCTTTTTGCAACAGCTTGGCCATTTTTAACCTTGGCTGGGTATTCACTTCAAGGGAGGGTGCTGTAACAACTATAAACTATTTCAATGAACATAAGTGAGAAAATTCAGACAGCATTCCGGCAGTCTTCAATCCCGTTACATGAGTGAATGGACACATCACTGTTAGAGACCACCACATGCTCTCTGGGGATAGGGTTTGCCGAGGCAGAAGAACCATTAGCCCCCTGCACAGCCGGGGTCTCAGCTTCATCCTGAATGCACTTCGCTTTTTTGGGTGGGATCTCCATGGACATCCTTTTCTTGGAGTAGTCCAGTTTATTGCTGTCTCGGGGGGATGTCGCGCAGGGGAGGGGGTGGGACCCCGTGATTTCTGAGACGGGACTGGCCACGTCATTGTCACCCGCACTCTGATCCTGCACACAAACAGATGCTTCCTGAATATTTTGTCCACCCGACGGTTCTACAACTCTATCGCGGGCCGCTGGGGTCAACCCAGTGACCCCAGCGACCACATCCGAGGCAAATGCTGAAATGGTGTCACTGTGGTGAGAAGAGCTCACGGAAGGCTGAGAGGTTGTCGTTAGTGTCGTAGATGTCGCCGTGTCTGCGCTGGAGAATACTGTGGAGGATTTGTCGACGCAGGGCATGAAGGGAGACACATCCGAGCTGCTGCCCCCCTCCAAGCTCTCTGCGCACGTCTCGAACGAGGCTGTACTGCTTCTGTCAATGCTGTGGTTATCAATACCGATGTTGGACAAGGTGTTACTGATGGAGTCTTTCTCCTCGCTGATGCTCGTCCGACCTGAAGGCACTACTGGAGTGTCTATGACGGCGGAAACTTCCAGCCCAGAGTTCTGTACGGGTTTCGGGGGACTGGAGGCCTCTGTGATGACTGGCATGTCTCTGTGGTTTGACACGGACGCCTCAGCGCTGGGCAGGTTTGACCTACGGTCAGGCGACATGTGCCAGTTGCTGGGCACCACCATGTCCTGGGCAAGACCCTCCGAGTGGTCAGGCGTGGGAACATGGATAGACATTGATTGTTTTAAGTCCTTGAGCCACGGGTGATCCAAGCATTGTCTGGCTGTCATGCGATCTCTGCACAAAGAAATATCAATGTTAAAAAGAGTTTTCAAAGTGAGGAATAGCATATATCACTTCTAATTACAAAGTCATGACTGTATAAGCACACTTTGAAACATGAATACTGTTTACTAAGATGATTCTCATTATCTATAATACTAATAAAAACTAAAAATCACAATCACCTCTTTTTTTTTTTTTTTGCTTAGCACACAAAGGCATTATTTTTTCAATTAATTGCTGGTTCGGGAATCATTTTGTGGAAACAACCTCAAATCCCCTCTCCTCCACCCCCCAAAAAATATTACGAAAGGAAGAACATATACTCCTACTTAACCACAACCTCACAATAATTTTACTTTATCTTGTGCATTTCTATTAACTTGACAGAAAAAAAGTTTTCTGAAAATCAAGCACTCTGAAAAATGATGATCATCCTTTACAATTACTAAAAGAAGGGGTTCTATTACATAAATGAAAAGCATATTTGAAAAAACATGATCCCAGTTATGTAGAAAAAATTCCCAGTTTCAACCATCATTACTTTATAAAATGCTCAGGAATGAGATGTAGCCCTACCTTAAAATTTTTTAATACTGATATAAATGACAAAGAATATTTAATCTTTTTCTACCCCAAAAAAAGAAATAATAAATGACCCATAATAAACCATCCAATACTGGGCTGGGAACTATTTTGATTCCCTTTTCCTCATTTTGCTGAGGCAAGCTTAGTCAGGTCTTCAACTGACATCTTTTTAGGAGAACATTAGCTAAATTCAAGCTAAAATGAGTTGTTAGGGGGGAAAATTGAAAGGCAATTCGCACATTGGAGTGTACAAACAACCTAAAACATAATCCATGCTCCTGTACCTTGGCTTTTTGACCAGCAGTTTTGCAATGAAATCTTGTGCCAGGGAGTTTATATGGCCAAACAGTGAGTCTGGGAAGTCCAGTTTTGCTTGAGTTATGTTACAGAAGGTCTCTTGTTGTGTGTCTCCAGCAAACGGGGAGTATGTCGTCAACATAACGTACGTGAGAACACCAAGACTCCTGAAACGAATAAAAGAGAGACACCATAGTAAAACGAAATGGCACCTCTTTGGTTCAATTTTTGTATTTACAATAATGGTAAAAATAGGAGGAGGAGGAGGAGGAGGAGGAGGAGGAGGAGGAGGAGGAGGAGGAGGAGGAGGAGGAGGAGGAGGAGGAGGAGGAGGAAGAGGAGGAGGAGGAGGAGGAGGAGGAGAACAAGAACAAGAACAAGAACAAAAAGAAGAAGAAGAAGAAGAAGAAGAAGAAGAAGAAGAAGAAGAAGAAGAAGAAGAAGAAGAAGAAGAAGAAGAAGAAGAAGAAGAAGAAGAAGAAGAAGAAGAAGAAGAAGAAGAAGAAGAAGAAGAAGAAGAAGAAGAAGAAGAACAAAAACAAGAACAAGTACAAGAACAAGAAAAAGAACAAGTACAAGAAGAAGAAGAATGGTAATTTATATAGCGCCTAATCCCAAGGAGGCTCTAAGCACTATACAATACATTAAGTATCATTCAACTGAAAAATCAAAAGACAGAAAATGCACATGATGAGACCATTTAACTACACAGAGGATAGTGTTGACCAAATGTGTTTGTAGATTTTTAAACTCTTTCTCTGGTGATATAAAATGCATTTCTTTTGAGAGGAAATTCTTCGGAAAATGAAATCTTACATAAAAATAACAAGTAACAGGCAATCTCTCTATTACAGGGCAACAACCTCTTGATTACAAAAACTTCCACTTCAAGATTTTAAAAACATTTCATATCTATCATCAATGTCACTGCAATATATCCTTATCTTTTCAGTACAACCCACATTAACAAATGCAGTAGTAGAAACTACAGTTGAAATTGCCCAGGACGGCCACCCATTATCGAGGGAAAAAGTGGTTGTCTTAGACAGGAGGAAAACATGGACAGTGTCATTATATATTGTTTTACTAGGCGCGCGGGGGGCGCAGGAGAGAAGAGAAAAGAGTGGGAAGTGAACTTTTGTAGACCTGAATGTCTTGGACAAGTGACCAGTAAGAGCAGGTTCATTTGTTTGCTTTTTCACGAGCACTGGGCACAGAGAAAGCTTGGCACTTTATTATTTAATGTAGGCAGAATACAACTATGAGATAGTCTAAGATTTGCCTACGCAGTCAGCTAAACTGTCACATGATAAGGAGTACCTTCCTTCCCCGGGCCAAACTCACCACATATCTGTTTGTATGTTGAGGGGCTCATAATCAAGTACTTCTGGGGCTGAAATTACAAAGACAGTGTATAATTAAGCATACTTAGATATTTCTTTTTTAAAATCAAAAGTTGAAAGTCTTCTGGTGTCAAACTCAAAGAAATAAATATTTCCACAAAAAAACATAGAGCAATTAACTGAATAACAAAATCAAACAAAAAGCTCTGAAGTTTGCATAATATTCACAATCAACCATAAGCAATAGAATTTTAACAATTCTCACAAGTAAGGACAGCATATGCCCTTGGTCTCCAAATAAAAGACTTAAAAAGGTGCGGTAAAGAAACCGGTTTTTAGGGGGCAGTGAGACGGCACCCATGACCTCAAAACCATGCAATACAGATTGATATATGCGAAACGTGCTGACAAAATGAGTCACTTCTCGGATTCGAGCCCTTTGGAAATCGATACGTCATGCCGAAAGGTGAAGCTTTTACATGTTATAAGTATCAAATAATATAGGGCATGTTGTACTTAAAGAATATGGCATTAATAGAAAATCTACAAATTTTGACCAGTGTAGATTTTTGGCCAATATTTCCACTTGTGGATTGCGAGAAGTAACCCATTTTGTCAACAGTCTCACATATTGTAGCTTGTAGAAAACTGATGAATCTAAAACAGATAAATAAACACAGAAATGAATAAGTTCTGATGTGAGATACGTTTGTCTTCTGTTGACATCTTTAACAAGTACAAGCACTAGTTGTCTAACTCACCGACATAATCCGGTGTGCCGATAATATCTCGTATATCTTCCCCGGTGTTGGTCAGACATGCAAAGCCGAGGTCACAAATCTTCACGTCGCCATCGGGGAACGGCTTGGTCAGCAGAATATTTTGTGGCTGTTGAAAAAAAAAAAAGAGAGATATTACGTTTTTTGTTTGTTTGAATCAAGTCAAGTGACAATAAAGGTCATTCAGAATTGGAAAAAAGCCAGAAAGAGAGGATGAAACAAAAGATGGAAAGAAAAGAAGGACCTACCAGTGGCCCTCCAAACATCTGATTAAAAATTTTTTAATTAGCAGCTGCTGCTGTTGCTGTTGCTGTTGTTGCAGAGAAGACATACACTACCCGTTGGCACAATTGTTGCTACTTTTCACCAGGAACAGAAAGTGTAACAATCCCACTGATCATATCTGGACAGCCACTAACCATCAGCTGCACCAACAGAAGTTTTTTTTAAAGTTTCAGTTCTGTTTGGTTAGAGTGTTTCCGCACTTGCAGCACAAATAGGTCGTATAAGTGCCAAAAATTAGAAGTGTTACTAGTGAGTAACATACAATGAAAAAAAGGAGGCGAGATAAGGACAATAGATGTTTGATAAGAAAGGAACAAACCATACCAGAGCACCCGCCAACCACCCATCAAGTAGCAGGCAATACGTTTGGGCAGTCATTAACCACCAGCTTCACCAGTACAGGGTCCACAACAAACACAAACAAAATTTACAATGAAAAACAAAATAACAGTCATATAAAACAGACATCATCTTCAGCGCAAAACGTTTATCAGTCCGTTTACAATTCTACTGTGCAGAACAACATGTTAAATCCCCCCCCCCCCCCCCCCACCCTTTGAGAATAGCTTAAAGACACATCAGTCAGTAGTTTCGTTTTAGTAGAGGTTTTACAGCAATCGCAACTGTATAAGACATCAGTCAGTAGCACTGCCCGGGGGGGGGCCGAAGAAAAATGCAGATAACAGACAAAAATAACAGAGAAAGACCACAAAGTAAAGACCACAAGCACAAAAACACCCTCAAAATGTACAGTATTTTTTAACAAACTCATGAAATATCTGAGCTCATTAAATCACCTCCAAGATTGCCCATAAGTTCAATCTCAGTTTGGTTGAACTTTGCGGCTTGAAAGGATGACATTTACTTCATTTTTTTTTTTTTTAAAGCAAAGAACCTTCAAGGAAACAACAGTCAGGAACACATACAAAGGACCACACATAAATAAAAGAACTGACAGCACTGCAGAAAAAGTTCTAACCAAGAGCCACATGTTGAAAAACTGGGAAATGTAAGGGAAGTAAAAAATGCTGTTCTTTTAAAGCCTATCCGTACGTCGTGTTTTACTATCGTATCCATACAACGTGGGGAACTCTGTGCCACCACTATCCAAAGAGGAAATTTACTCGTTAATCTTTACATAGCAGTCTGTCAAAATGATTTTTTGAGAAATACTGAAAGTTTCAAAGAAATCCTCACATTAGAAGTATTCTAAAATGTGAAGAATACAACCCCAGGGGTACAAAATGACCCCAGGGCATACGGATAGGGTTAAAAGACTACTGTCTTATTGTAAAAAGAAAACAAAAAACTTTTAGTATATTAAGATTAAAATAATGCTACTTTCGAAACGGGGAAGGGGGGACGGACACAAATGTGTTACCAGCAAAAGAAGTGGTGAATCAGTGATAATGACAACCTTCTCCCCTTTTTTTTCTTTCTTAACCATTCCTTACCAATCTGATGGAAAAACTGGATAAGGAGAGAGAGAGAGAGAGACAGAGAGAGAGACAGAGAGAGACAGAGAGAGAGACAGAGAGAGAGAGAGAGAGAGA